GCCAGGTGTGGGATATAATCTCCTGGTGTGCCATTTGCTAAGACCCTTGGTAAAGCGCAGTGTTAGGGTGGGAGTTACCCAATTTTCCAGGTGTTGTCTGTCTCAGTTTCCCTTGGCTAGGAAAAGGGATTCCCTTCCCCCTTGTGCTTTCCAGGTGAGGCAATGCCTTGCCCTGCTTCTGCTCTCGCTGGTCGGGCTGCACCCGCTGACCAGCACCGATTTTCCGGCACTCCCTAGTGAGATGAACCCGGTACCTTAGTTGAAAATGCAGAAATCACCCTTCTTCTGTGTCTCTCATGCTGGGAGCTGGAGGCTGGAGCTGTTCCTATTTGACCATTTTGGGCACGCCCCCTTGAGGAGTTTCTTAATCCTGAGTTCTAGTTTGATTGCACTGTGATCTGAGAGACTGTTATTTATTTCCATTCTTTTGCATTTGCTGAGGAGTGTTTTACTTCCAGTTATGTGGTTGATTTTAGAATAAGTGCCATTTGGCTCTGAGAAGAATGTATATTCTGTTGATTTGGGGTGGAGAGTTCTGTAGATGTCTATTAGGTTCACTTGATCCAGAGGTGAGTTCAAGTCCTGAATATCCTTGTTAATTTTCTGTCTCATTGATCTAATATTAACAGTAGGGTGTTAAAGTCTCCCATTATTATTGTGTGGGAGTCTAAGTCTCTTTGTAGGTCTCTAAGAACTTGTTTTATGAATCTGGGTGCTCCTGTATTGGGTGCATATATATTTAGGATAGTTACCTCTTCTTGTTGCATTGACCCCTTTATCGTTATGTAATGCCCTTCTTTATCTTTTTTGATTTTTGTTGGTTTAAAGTCTGTTTTACTAGAGACTAGGATAGCAACCCCTACTTTTTTTTCCTTTCCATTTACTTGGTAAATATTCCTCCATTCCTTTATTTTGAGCATCTTTGCATGAGATGGGTCTCCTGAATACAGCACACCAATGGGTCTTGACTCCAGGCTGTGTATTTTAATTGAGGCCTTTAATCATTTACATTTAAAGTTAATATGGTTAGGTGTGAATTTGATCCTGTCATCATGATGCTAGCTCATTATTTTGCACATTAGTTGATGGAGTTTCTTCATAGTGTCATTGATCTTTATATTTTGGTGTTTTTTTGCAGTGGCTGTTACTGGTTTTCCCTTTTCATATTTAGTGCTTCCTTCAGGAACTCTTGTAAGGCAGGTCTGGTGGTGACAAAATCCCTCAGCATTTGCTTGCCTGGGAAGGATTTTATTTCTCCTTTGCTTTTGAGACTTAATTTGGCTGGATGTGAAATTCTGGGTTGAAAACTCTTTTCTTTGAGAATGTTGAATATTCGCCCCCATTCTATTTTGGCTTGTAGGGTTTCTGCAGAGACATCTGCTATTAGTCTGATGGGCTTCCCTTTGTAGGTGACCTGACCTTTCTGGCTGCCCTTAACCTTTGTTTCAACCTTGGAAAATCTGATTATGTGTCTTGGGGTTGCTCTTTTCGAGGGGTGTCTTAGTGGTGTTCCCTGTATTTTTTTAATTTGAATGTGGGCCTGTCTTGCTTGGTTGGGGAATTTCTTCTGGATAATATCCTAAAGTGTGTTTTCCAACTTGGTCCATTCTCCCTGTCACTTTCAGGTATGCCAGTCAATCATGGCTTTGGTCTTTACACGTAGTCCCGTATTTCTTGAAAGATTTGTTTGTTCCTTTTCATTCTTTTTTCTCTAATCTTGTCTTTATGCCTTATATCAGCAAGGCATAAATAGTCTCTGATGTCCTTCCAGTTGATCGATTTGTTTATTGATACTTGTGTATGCTTCAAGAAGTTCTCGTGCTGTGTTTTTCAGCTCCATCAGGTCATTTATGTTCCTCTCTAAACTGGTTATTTTAGTTAACCATTCCTGTAACCTTTTATCAAGGTTCTTAGCTTCCTTGTGTTGGGTTAGAACATGCTCCTTTAGCTCGGAGAAGTATGTTATTACCCACCTTCTGAGGCCTACTTCTGTCAGTTTGTCAATCTCATTCTCTATCCAGTTTTGTTCCCTTGCTGGAGAGAAGCTGCGATTATTTGGAGAAGAGGCATTCTGGTTTTTGGAATTTTCAGCATTTTTGTGCTGGCTTTTCCTTATCTTCATGGATTTATATACCTTTGATCTTTGAGGCTGATGACCTTTGGATGGGATTGTTGTGGGGGGTCTTTTTTGTTGATATTGTTGCTTTCTGTTTGTTAGTTTTTCTTCTAAGAGTCAGGCCCCTCCTCTGGAGGTCTGCTGTGGTTTACTGGAGGTCCACCCCAGGCCCTGTTTGCCCGGGTATCACCAGTGGAGGCTGCAGAACAGCAAAGATTGCTGCTTGCTCCTTCCTCTGGAAGGTTCATCCCAGAGGGCACTGCCCTGATGCTAGTAGCCAGAGCTCTCCTGCATGAGGTGTCTGTTAACCCCTTTTGGGTGGTCTCTCCTAGTCAGGAGGCATGAGGATCAGGGACCCACTTGAGGCAATCTGTCCCTTAGCAGAGCTGGTACACTGTGCTTGGAGAATCCCCTTTGTCAGGATCAGCTTCTCTCTTCAGAGGCGGCAGGCTGGAAAGATTGAGTCCGCTGAAGCTGCGCCCACAGCCACCTCCCCCTGCAGGTGCTCTGTCTCAGGGAGATGAGAGTTTTATCTGTAAGCCCCTGAGTAGGGCTGCTGCCTTTCCTTCAGAGATGCCCTGCCCTGTGAGGAGGAATCTAGAGAAGCAGTGTGGCCGCAACCGCTTTGCTGCACTGTGGTCAATTCTGCCCAGTCCAAACCTTCCAGTTTTCTTAGCATTGTCAGGGGAAAACAGCCTACTGAAGACTCATAATGGTGGATGCCTACCAAGCTCGATCGTCCCATGTTGACTTCAGACTGCTGTTCTGGCTGTGAGAATTTCAAGCCAGTGATTTTTAGCTTGCTGGGCTCCATGACAGTGGGACCTGCTGAGTGAGACCACTTGGCTCCCTGGTATCAGCCCCCTTCCCAGGGGAGTAAACGGTTCTGTCTCACCGGGGTTCCAGGTGCCACTGGCATACAAAAAAAAACTCCTGCAGCTAGCCTGGTGCCTGCCCAAATGGCTGCCCAGTTTTGTGCTTGAAACCCAGGGTTCTTGTGTAGGCTCATGAGGGAATATCCTGATCTGTGGATTGCAAAAACCATGGGAAAAGCATAGTACCCAGGATAGGTAGCATAGTTTGTTCCTCACAGCTTCCCTTGACTGGGGGAGGGAGGTCCCCCAGCTGCTTGCACTTCCTGGATAAATGACGCCCAACCCTACTTCTGCTTGCTCTCCATGGGTTGCACCCACTGCCTAACAGTCCCAATGAGATGAACTGGGTACCTCAGTTAGAAATGCAGAAATCACTAGCCTTCTGCGTTGGTCTTGCTGGGAACTGCAGACTGGAGCTGTTTCTATTTAGGTATCTTGGCCCTCCGAAATTTTTACCTCTTATCTTTATTGACTTTGACTTAAAGTGTTACTACATAAAATTTTCTTGAACTGCGTTTTATACCACACCAGAATATTTTGCTATGCTATACAGAGGTTTTGGCTCATATTTTTCCAGTTTTGGTTGCCAGAATTCACAGGAATTTTATGTGGCTAGCTGGAAAATAATAAAATGACCAATTTTACAAGTAGCATTCATTTGCATCTCAAAGCACTTTAAGGCCGTTGTCTAATAGCATTAGCTCGTGTTTGTCCAGAGGTGAACAAGGCACATCAAATTGGTGATTTTTAATGTTTGCCTCCAGTGGGTGTTTTTAAGTTTCTTTAGAAGATTACAAATACTTCTTGGTTTTGAGTTTTGTTGATTAAAAGTTGCTAGTCATTATAAGATTATTTTTCTGGCAAGAATGTGTATTTTCTTAATGGAATGACACAAGTATTTAATGTAAATTGGATATACATGAGAAGTGAAGCCAGCTGGACTTCCTGGGTGGAGTGAGGACTTGGAGAACTTTTTTGTCGAGCTAGAGGATTGTAAACGCACCAATCAGTGCTCTGTGTCTAGCTAAAGGATTGTAAACGCACCAACGCACCAATGGACCAGTCAGTGCTCTGTAAAATGGACCAATCAGCACTCTGTCAAATGGATCAATCAGCAGGATGTGGGCGGGGCCAAATAAGGGAATAAAAGCTTGGCCACCTGAGCCAGCAGCGGCAACCCACTGGGGTTCCTTTCCACGCTGTGAAAGCTTTGTTCTTTTGCTCTTCATGATAAATCCTGCTGCTGCTCACTCTTTGGGTCTGCACTGCCTTTATGAGCTATAACACTCACTGCGAAAGTCTGTGACTTCACTCCTGAAGTTAGCAAGACCACGAACCCCCCCGGAAGGAAGAAACACTAGACACATCTGAGCATCTGGAGGAACAAACTCCAGACACACCATCCTTAAAAACTGTAACACCATGACGGTCTGCAGCTTCTTTTTTTTTTTTTATGTTTTTAAAAATTATTTATTTATTTATTTATTTATTTATTTTTTTGAGATGAGTCTCGCTCTGTCGCCCAGCCTAGAGTACAGTGGTGCGATCTCGGCTCACTGCAAGCTCCATCTCCCGATTTCACACCATTCTCCTGCCTCAGCCTCCTGAGTAACTGGGACTACAGGCGCGTGCCACCACACCCGGCTAATTTTTTGTGTTTTTAGTAGAGACGGGGTTTCACCTTGTTAGCCAGGATGGTCTCAATCTCCTGACCTCATGATCTGCCCGCCTCGGCCTCCCAAACTGCTGGGATTAGAGGCGTGAGCCACCACACCCATCCAGTGGCTTCATTCCTGAAGTCAGAGAGACCAAGAACCCACTGGAAGGAATAAATTCCGGACACATATATTTGGTTAATGGATAGAGGTTTTAAAGTAGGGATGGGAGGATGGTGGAAAAGACCATAATTTTTCATCAGTTTTTCTCATTGATTTTATGACTTGACTGCTTTGGATTTATAGTGTTCTTTTTTTTTTTTCTCTGTGTGTGTGTTTTGTTTTTTTTTTTAGGGAGAAGTTATAGCACTGGATAAAATCTTCAGCAAAGTAGAAAAAATAAAGCAGAATGCCTTATTGTTAGGGCTGAATTCCATCAGGGCATTTTGTTTTGATGGAACAAAGGCGGTTAAACTTGATATGGTGGAGGACACAGAAGGTGAGATATTTTGATTTTCTTACTTTTTAATTGACAAATCATATATATTTGTTGCATACAGTGTGATGTTTTGACATGTATATGATTTTGTATACAATGTGAAATGATTAAAGCAACCTAATTACCATATCCATCACTGTACTTATCCTTGTCTTGTGGGAATTTGAAATTTACTCTCTTAGCAGCTTTGAAATAACAAAATACATTAGTATAGTCACCATGCTGTGCAGTAGATCTCAAAAACTTACTCCTCCTGTCCAACTGAAACTTTGTACCCTTTAAACAACTTCTCCCCATTCTTTTCTCCTCCTTCCTCCCCCAGCCTCTGGTAGCCACTACTCTGTTTCTATGAGTTTGACTTTTTTAGATTCCCCACTTAAGTGAGATCCTGTAATATTTGTCCTTCACTGCCTGGCTTGTTTCACTTAGCATAATATAATGTCTTCCAGGTTTATCTATTTTGTTGCAAATGACATAATTTCTTTTTGTTTTAAAGGTTGAATGGTATTCCATTGTGTATATGTACCACATTTTCTTTATCCATTCATTTCTTGATGGATTCCGTATCTTGACTGTTGGGATGAGAGTGCAGATATCTCTTTGACATGCTGATTTAAATTCCTTTTTCTGTATACCCCGTAGTAGGATTACTGGATAATATGGTAGTTCTATTTATTTTTTAAGAACCTCCATACTATTTTACATAATGGCTGTATTAATTTACATTCTTACCAACAGTGTAAAAGAGTTTGCTTTTCTCTGCATCCTTGCCAGCATATATTATTTTATATGTGTGTTTTTATGATAGCCATTTTAACTGGGATGAGGTGATATCTCATTGTGGTTTTGATTTGCATTTTCCTGATGATTAGTGATGTTGGGCATTTTTTCATATACCTGTTGGCTATTTATATGTCTGTTAGGTCCTTCTCTTTCTCTTTTTTTAAAAATAGGTCTCTACTTTTGAAAGACCTATTTTGAAATAGGTCTTTATTTTTGAAAGATAGTTTTACTGAATATTAAATTCTTGGTTGACAGGTTTTTCTTTTTTTTTTTTCTTTCTCTACTTTGAATATGTCATGTTACCATCTTTGGGGCTCCATTGTTCTAGATTAACCATCACCTGCTAATCTTTTACACTTCCCTAGTACATGACGAGTTGTTTTTCCCTTGCTGCCTTTAACATTTTCTCTTTTCTTTTGACTTTCAACATTTTTACAATGATGTATCTGGTTGTGGATCTTTTTGCATTTGTCCACCTCAGAGCTAGTTGTTCCTTTTGGATGTGTAGATTGCTTTTCATCAAATATGGGTCATTTTCAGCCATAATTTTTTGAATATTTTCCTACCTTTTTTTCTTTCTTTCCTTTTGGGACTACCTAAGTTGTGTTAATAATGCCTAAGTTGTCTTAATAATGTCACACATTTCTCTGAAGTTTATGGTAATTTGTCTTCATTGTTATATCTCTCTGACCTTCAGATTATAACCAAAAAGCAGGTTAGCTGCATGCTGCATTTAGAGTCTGATTAACAAGAGTAAGATCTGGTACAAGGAAAATGGTTTATTCCAAAGCTAGCTTAGGGAATGAGGCACAAAGCATCCTGCCTTTATATGTGCTGCTTCACCTTTGGAGCAGAAAGCAGACACTTTTATAAGGTAAATGGGGAAGTGAAGGAGGGCAGGGCTCCCACTGCTAGCTGGTGCCTAATCTAACAGTTTAATTGGCACCTTCCTGGGCAGAAATAAGTTGTAATAGTGGCCAAGCCGGCATGATTTGGATATGTTCTCCTGGTGGATGGAAGTCCCCCCTACTCCCCACAAGAGTGGCAACCCCTCGAGGGTGGAAGTTTCAAGACCACCTCCTGGGGGTGAAAGTTCGCTGGCCAGTATGGTTTGGTCTGCAAATTAACTGTTAATTCTCTAGGAGAGATGTGTCTTGGAGGCTTAGTTAGAAGAACTTGCCCTGCAGAGAATGTCTGGTGAGGGGAAAGTGTGTAAAAGGTTAAATTTGCATTTCTGAAGGGCTAAGTAGGAAACAAACAGGAATGGGGAAAGGGGAGAAGATAACAGAAAATAAATTTTAAAATAGTAATTCATTCCTTTTTTCTTGGAAAAATGCAAGCACTCAGTTACAAGAGTACGTAATCTGTATTCATCTGTCTTCAAGTACACTCATTTTTTTCTGTCAGCCTAACTGTTTGAGCCCCTCTAGTGGAATTTTTAAGAATTGTACTTTCAACATCTTGATTTCCTTTTTTAAAAATTTCCCTCTGTCGATATTCTCTATTTGATGAAACATGACGACCATATCTCCCTTTACTTTTTTAAGCATGTTTTCCTTTGCTTTAATTCTTTGAACATATTTTTATTGGCTGCTTTAAAGTTGTTGCCTACTAAATCTGGCAGCTAAACTCTCTCAAAGTTAACTTTTGTTTGCTGCTTTTATTTCCCCTACCAACGGGTCACACTTTCCTTTTTCTTCGCATATCTCTTATTTTTTTTCCGACTGAAAACCGGCACATTTTAGGTAATACTGTCAAGTGCATCCGTGTGAAGAGACACCAAACAGGCTTTGTGTGAGCAATAAAGCTTTTAATTCACCTGGGAGTGGGTGGGCCGAGTCCAAAAAGAGTCAGCAAAGGGAGATGGGGAAAGGGTTGCTTTATAGGAGTTGGGTAGGTAAGGGCAGATTACAGTAAAAGGTGGTTATCTATTGTTAGCAGAGGAGGGGTTACAAGATGCATGGTGGAGAGATCATAAGACTTATTGTCCAGAAGAAGAACGTCACAAAGTTCATCAACTAAGGTAGCGCAAGGACAAGTCACAATAGTAAAATAGTATAATTTTAGTTAATCAGTTAAGGCAGGAACTGGCTGTTTTACTTCTTTGTGGTTTTTCTTTGCTCCAGACTTCTTGGCTCCTGCAGGCCACCTGGATGTGTATGTGCAGGTCACAGGGGTTATAATGGCTGAGCTTCGGCTCACAGGCCTGACAAATACATTGTAACAACTTGAATGCTAATTCTCCTCCTCCCCAGGCTTGTGGTGATAGTTTGCTTATTTGTTTACTGTCATGGCTCTATGACACTATTTTGGTAAACTGTATTCCTTCAGCATGTGCAGCTGAGATGTCATTCTTCAGTGGCTTTTTTGACATGGGCATAGTAATCCTGGGATCACAGTGGTTTTAGTTTTAGCAGGGCTCACTTTGTCTCTTTCCCTGCTCTTTGTGTTAAACTGTGTGCTTCAGTTGGCATTACAAAGCACTGTTACCCTCCACTAATTGCAGATTGATTGCTTTATTCTTTTCAACAGTGCCCTGGGACATAAGTTGCCCCACCATCTGATCCAATGAATATGAGATCCTTTGCATAGGTCATCTTTCTGACCAGTCTGTGAGGTTTTTCCCAACCTAGAAGGCTCTTCTCACTGTCTCATACCTTGATTCTCTCATAAACTTTTCTGGTCTTTGGTTTAGCTGATTCTTCTCATGGAGCTCGTAGTGTGTCCGGAATTGGTGGGTTCTTGGTCTCGCTGACTTCAAGAATGAAGCCACGGACCCTCACAGTGAGTGTTACAGTTCTTAAAGATGGTGTGTCCGGAGTTTGTTCCTTCAGACGTTCAGATGTGTTTGGAGCTTCTTCCTTCTGGTGGGTTCATGGTCTCGCTGACAGGAGTGAAGCTGTAGACCTTCGCAGTGAGTGTTACAGCTCTTAAAAGCGGCGCGCCTGGAGTTGTTTGTTCCTCCCGGTGGGTGGGTTCGTGGTCTCGCTGGCTTCAGGAGTGAAGCTGCAGACCTTCGTGGTGAGTGTTACAGCTCATAAAAGCGGTGTGGACCTAAAGAGTGAGCAGCAGCAAGATTTATTGCAATGAGCAAAAGAACAAAGCTTCCACCGGTGTGGAAGGGGACCCGAGCAGGTTACCACTGCTGACTTGGGCAGCCTGCTTTTATTCCCTTATGTGACCCCACCCACATCCTGCTGATTGGTCCATTTTACAGAGAGCTGATTGGTCTGTTTTACAGAGAGCTGATTGGTCCATTTTACAGAGAGCCGTTTGGTCCGTTTTGACAGAGTGCTGATTGGTGTGTTTACAATCCTTGAGCTAGACACAGAGTGCGAGACAGAAAAGTTCTCCAGGTCCCCACTAGGTTAGCTAGATACAGAGTATCAATTGGTGTATTTACAAACCCTGAGCTAGACACAGAGTGCTGATTGGTGTGTTTACAATCCTTTAGCTAGACACAAAGTACTAGACAGAAAGTTCTCCAAGTCCCCAATAGCTTAGCTAGATACAGAGTACTGAATGGTATATTCACAAATCCTGAGCTAGATACAGAGTGCTGAATGGTGTCTTTACGATCCCTTAGCTAGACATAAAAGTTCTCCATGTTCCCACTAGACTCAGGAGCCCAGCTGGCTTCACCTATGGGATCCTGCACCAGGGCTGCAGGTAGAGCTACCTGCCAGTCCCGAGCTGTGCCTGCACTCCTCAACACTTGGGTGGTCGATGGGACTGCGCACCGTGGAGCAGGGGGCAATGCTCGTGGGGGAGGCTCAGGCTGCGTGGGAGTCCACCACGGGAGCTGGGCGGGGAGTTCGGGCATGGCAGGCTGCAGGTCCTGAGCCCTGCCCCGTGGGGAGGCAACTGAGGCCCGGCGAGAACTTGAGTGCAGCGATGGTGGGCCGGCACTGCTAGGGGACCTGGTGCAACCTCCGCAGCTGCTGGCCCGGGTGCTAAGCCCCTCACTGCCCTGGGCCGGCATCACCTGCTGCTCCATGTGCGGGCCCGCTGAGCCTGCACGCGCTGAAACTCGCACTGGGCCGTGAGTGCCTGTGCCTCTCCTTCCACACCTCCCCGCAAGCAGAGGGAAGTGGCTCCAGCCTCGGCCAGCCAGAGAGGGGCTCCCACAGTGCCGTGGTGGACTGAAGGGCTCCTCAAGCACTACCAGAGTGGATGCCGAGGCCGAGGAGGTGCCAAGAGCAAGGGCTGCTAGCACG